CCACACTCTCATGCGAAGTGAGCATCTCCAAAATTGTCTCTTATACACATCTAGATGTGTATAAGAGTCTCTCTCTCTCTCTCTCTCTCTCTCTCTCTCTCTCCCTTGAGAGAAATATATACAGTCATGAACCCTTGACGAAAAATCAGAAATAAGGGTCGGACAGCGGTCAAGAAAGCCTTGTGAGTCTTCCACCAGCAAAGTAAATTACTACCGTGCCATTCAATGCAGCAACTGCGACTGCGAGAGTCGGATGTGGTGCTTCCACGGTCCAGACCCGAACCGGTCCTGTCCAGTGTCCAGTCTGTAGGGGTGGCTTCACTTACCATAGGCAACGGCTGGTCCTCAGCTCCAAATGTTATGCAACCCAAACGCTGACTGGCCTCATGTGTCATTCAAGACTAGTCTTCTCCGGCGACGAGTATTTAGAATCCTGTGAAGTTTGTCACATCTTTGTCCTGTCCTTTGCACTCCACTTCCGCTCCTACCCTTTCTCCCTCACCAGCCCCTAAACTCTCTATAGAGCTCCGCTTCCTGGCCCTTTCCCTTTACCTTCCCCTTATGTGCTACTTGCAAATAACATACGAATGAGCATCATTAAGAGAACATACAAAATATAAGCTGAAGTGAAAAGAACAGGAGTATACTTTCCTCTTTACTTTGTCTCCTCTCAAAAGTGCAAGAGGGCCGTTTAAGGCACAAGGGGATGTGGGCAGCTGCCGCTCAACCACAATCAACATGGACAGCCTTGTACTTGTACGTGTGAGGCATAGTAAAAGGGGGGCTGCAAGAACAAATGGAATGGGTACCCCAAGGAAAACCAAAGTAGAGTTAGTAAACACAATTTTAAAAGGTTCTATTATGCTTGCTAAAGAGGTAAAATAACACTAAAATTGTCTAATTTTTGAAAAATTGCTTTAAAAATGCTGGACTGTCTCAACTCAAGTGCTCTCATGGTCTGCAAGAGGACAAAAAAAGCTGCTTCCATTCTGAATCGAGTCATCTGGGTGGAATTGGGGGGGCTGTTGTTGGGGGAATTTAAAACACACACACACACACACACAAATGATGACAGTCAGACTTGTACTCATGTGCGACGCCCTGACATAACCATGCACTCTTCCCGTTCTCCCTCCCCCCTCCCTCCCTTCCTGTAGAACTGCACCGCCTACCCCTTTCCTCCCTCCCTCCTCTTGTGTTCTACTACTAAATGCATACAAATGAGCATCATTAACAAAACAGAGAAAATATAATCTGAAGATCTGAGGAGAAGTGAAGCAGGGGTATACCTCTCCCTTTACTCTGCCTCCTTTCTTGCCGTGCATGTGGACCGTTAGGGCACCTTGCACTCAACCACAATCAACTTGGCAAGCCTTGTACGCGAGAGGCGCACTAACAGTGGAGCTGCACGAAGAAGCAAAAGGGGTACCACAAAGAAAGCCAAAGTAAGGAAACAGAAGAAACGGCTGCTGTACAGGGAATAGTCAATATAATGGTTTATTTCAATTATTATTTGTGCTTCATGTTGTTTGCTGTTACGCTGTAGAGGTAAAACTGTTTCAGTGGTAGATTTGCTCATCATAGTGCATTTTCTTGTCAGCGATGGAGGTAAAGCTGTGTCGATTTTGGATCTACTCATCTGGGTGGAAAAGGGGCTGTTGCAGTGACAGTTTGTCATAAGCCGACTACCTCCCCCGCCCCCCTCCCTCCTCCCTCCCCCAACCCACCCACCCTCTGAATAGAACGCACAGTTGTTGTAGCTGTATTTGGTGCAACTTTCAGTCTGGATGCAGCATTAATGACCGTGTGTTTTATTCGAGTGAAGAGGGTAGAGCTTTTCCCACTTGGGAACTATCAGCTATCATTCTTCACACTACATGGAAAATTTTATCACGCCTGGAAGAAAATATCAGGCCTGGAGAAATTTTTTATTTTTAACTTTTTTTAATTCAGGTATAGCGAAATTGATCAGGTACGGAAAATTTTGTCAATGACGGCAAAATTATCTGCCACGGAAAACAGCTTCTTCTGCATCGGAGATTCGGAGAAGAGATTTTTGAATATTTTTCCCCCATTGGACTTCCATTTTGGGGCGGAAAAAAAGGAAGCAGAGTTAACCTTGATTTAAAAAAAAAAGAATTCCCACCTTTCCGCTGTTTGTTTCAATCTGTCTGATGCTCGTGCTTTTTTATTTTTCAATTTGTCTTTTAGGCTTTCGAGAATTTGCGGTCTCGAAATGTCTACAAAGGAGGGTGGGCACCAGCAGGGAGCAGCAGTGTGATTACAAAAGTGCAGAATGCATGGATTAACCATGTTGTCAGAGTCCGAAGGCATGCTTATGGTGGTGGTGCAGCCATCGATGAGGGGACAGGTAGGGAGCTAAATTTCTTCTGTTCAAGAACAGCTGCCACACTCCCCATCTTCCTTCTTTTTCACAACATTCTTTCTTTCTTCTTCTTCTTCTTCTTTTTCTTCTTCTTCTTCTTCTTCTTCTTCTTCTTCTTCTTCATGCATTCTTCTTCTTCTTCTTCTTCTTCTTCTTCTTCTTCTTTGAGCTTTGGCATACATGGGTGGGGACGCCGGTGCGGGTCCGGCTACTATGATGTTTTCCTTTCCATGCATGGATGGTTAGCGATTGGCCTCTCCATTCTCAGATCATTTCTCAATTCTTCTTCTTCTCCTCCTTTTTCTTCTTTTTCTTCTTTTTCTTCTTTTTCTTCTTCTTCTTCTTCTTCTTCTTCTTCTTCTTCTCTTCTACTTCTTCGTCATCGACTTCGTCTTCGTCTTTGTCTTCTTTGTTCTTTTTTGTTCTTTGAGCTTTGCCATGTTTGTGTGGGTTCTATGATGATGTTTCTTTGCAATACATGGATGGTTATCAATTGGCCTCGCTATTCTCAATGCAATCCCCAATTGACAATTCTTCTTCTTCTTTCTGTACTTACACCACAAGTATAACTCTGGAGACTGTAGGTCCACGCGACCATCACCATCACGAGTCAGGGAATCACTTTGTGGTAGTCTGTCACCACTTCCATGGAAACACAGAGACACAGGCATCCCGAACACAGCAGCCGCCCTAATCGTGTTGCACACACTCGGAACAAAGAGGCGCTGACTGTTTGGAACATTGCACCTGGACACTGAGGAGAGCATGGGAAGAGCCCAAAGCATCCACGAGGTGGACAACACGAACAAAGTTGTGCGTACGTATGCAGAACATATAACGCAGACAGGCTCCGGCGCTCAACAGTACAGTTTGCAGCATGCCTGATATAGAGTCCAGGCTCAGGGAGCCCCAGGGACCACCGGGAAACGGCAATCAGCTGGAATGGGATGGTGAGAAGGAAAGGAGAACAAGAAATGAGTGGAAAACTGAAAAACAAAGGCAAAGGATCTCTCGCATGACAGACTGTAACTTCGGTTGGTCTGCCACTGACTTGTCAGAAGACAGGAAGTCGTGACCGTTACTTGAAGCCGTACATATAGCATATCCTTGATTGTGTTTGTGTTTGTGTCTGAAGTGGTGTGTATGTATTGTGTGTTTGTGTGTGTGTGTGTTAGCATGCGCACATCACATGCACTTCGCATGAGCACGACATGTCATGCCCGTGCTACTCCAACTAAAAACGTCGGCACACCGTGAGCAAAAAGCAAGACGTGGGAGGCGATATTCCAACGCGGCGAGGTAAAGCCACTTGGTATGTCCATCTTGTGGTGAGGGTAACCACGAGGCCGTTTATCGGGTGAAGTTCGGCCAATCCAGCGCAAGTGGCGAACTGAAGCGAAGGGGGGGTAGGGGTGCTTCGTATCACAAGGGGACAACGATCAAACCAACCACACAAAGAGAGGGAGAAACATTCGAAAAACACTTCCAAAAAAAGGATGACAATTTCGCCGACAGAACAACCATTGGTGACATATAACAATGCATTGATATACACTCACAAAGCAATAATCGGGAAGATACTTCTAAGACTAAAATATGTACGAGCAGCAGTTTGGGCCCCGACCCCAAGAGCAGGCTCAGCAGGTACCGCCATTCTTTGGCACAACAACTCAAGAGCAGCAAATTTGATACAACTAGGGCCCAACAGAACAGACCCAGATCACGGAAGGTGGATAGAAACAACCTTCACCTTTAAGGAAGAATCCCTCCAACTCATAAATGCCTACGCCCCGAACGATGCAGCCCAAAGACAACACTTTATCCAGAACCTAACAACACTATGCAACGACCAAATCTGTATAATACTAGCCGGAGATTGGAACACAACCCTGTACCCATCCAGTGACAGACTGTCATGTTCTCAAATAGGAAGGGAGAACCAACTCCAAACAGAGGCCCAGGCATTACATAGACTAATATTAGAAAGAAATCTACTCGAACCCCTTAGAACACTCCACCCATAGACAAACAGATTCACTTACAGGAAAAGAAATAGAACCCAACATGTCACCTACTCAGCCATAGGCTTCTTCTTGGTATCTGAATCCCTCAGAGGCGCCATATTAAAGGTTGGCATAGGTCAACTACCCTACCATAACGGATTAGACCACAGCCCAATCTTCCTAGACTTAAWATTTGACCCAGGTCTACAAAAAGGACCAGGYTTCTTCAAGATSAACAACTCMATTCTCCTCACCCGCGAAATGAAACAGGCCATAGCTCAAGCCTRCATTGACTCTGAACAAGCAGGAATGGACTTCCCAAGTCTAACTTTTAACCTATCCAACGCAGCAGCTGTWGCATCATGGCAATTAGCAGCAAAAAGAAATCAGAGAATCAAAGAGCTAGAAGCAGCAGTCAGTATCGCGGAATCCAAGCTATGGAACAACCCTGGATCCCCAAACTACGAAGACCTACTAACTAGGGCCAGAACAGAATTATCCAGCTGGAACGCGTGGAAAGCAAACGGCATGCGACTCAGAGCCAGACTAATGGAATGGGAAAAAGGTGAGAAAATGACAAAATTCTTCTTTCAGAAAATCAAGACAGGGAAGAAACTCAGCCATTAGCCAGCTTAGAGGAGAGGAAGGACCAAGATCCAACCCACTGAAAATGCTCTCCATTGCTGAATCTTTCTACAAAGAACTCTATACCTCCAAGACTAATTCGCCTACCCCTAGGGCAATCCATTAGGCCAGAGAAAAGTTCATTAAATACTTAGACAAAACTATCACGCACGACAAGGCAGAAGAATTAGATCAACCCATCACAAACGAAGAAATTAAAAAAGCCTTAGATTCCATGAAGTCAAATAAAACACCAGGAATAGATGGACTCTCAAATGAATTCTGGCAAACCTACTGGCCAATCTTAGGAGATGAATATTGCCACTTCATAAGAACAGCATGGAACAAGGAAAGCCTAGGTCTAGAACTCAGCACCGGTATAGTCACACTACTCTACAAGAAGGGTGACCCAACAGACATCAGGAACTATAGACCTATCACCCTACTAACAGTAGCTTACAAGATTTTGGCAAAACTATTAGCCAACAGGATCAGAAACATCACCAAAAACTGCTTTCACATAGATCAAACAGGTTTCATTCCAGGAAGGTTCATCCTAGACAATGTAATGTCACTAGCAGAATCAGTCAGAGTTATCCAGGACAAACATTTGAATGCAGCAATCCTCTTTTTKGACTTTGAAAAAGCCTATGATCAAGTCAACTGGGACTTCCTACAGAAGTGCATGGAAACTATGGGAGTAGGACCAAACTTCAGAAAATGGGTGAGAGTCTTATACAATGACGCAATGGRAGCAGTCCAGGTCAACGGACACATCTCCAATAAATATAAAATGTCCCGATCAGTAAGACAAGGAGACCCGCTGGCGGCACCAATCTTTCTCTTTATCATGGAAGCCATAGCCTCCTTCTTAAGAAAGGACCCCTCCATACACAGACTCATTGAACAATCTGAACCCAACTCGCACAAGTACCACATACCRCCCACAATTTTGTTTGCCGACGACCTAACAGTGCTTATAAGAGCATCCTCCTCATCCTTYGAAGCTCTAACCAGGGCAATGGGCGCCTTCCAATTAGCCTCTGAAATGCRCATCAACTGGAAAAAGACGGTAGGCTGGTGGCTAACGGAGGAAGGCATTGACCCACCCAGGGACACACCAGAAGGTATGATATGGGCAAACCCCAACGACCCACTGAGAGTACTAGGAATACAGATGTCCAATCAGGGGGCAGCAACATAAATGGCTCCCAGTCTGCTAGCCAAAATGACCAGCAAACTTAACGATTGGGGAAGAATACACACCTCACTACACGGAAGGGCATTAGTATTAAACGCTTCAATCTACTCGATGATGTGGTATGTAGCAGCATTCTGGACACCAGACCAAAGAGCCTTCAAGGACTTACATAAGAAAGCAACAGCTTACCTCTGGACAGGAGATGCATCAAAACAGAGCTTTATCACAAAGGTAGCCTGGCAATATGTAACAAGAAAGAAGAGCCAAGGGGGTTTAGGTGTCTTAGACCCAGCTAACCAAATAAAAGCCCTCCAAACCAAGTGGATCATAAAGCTACTAACGAGCCCTAATCTACCGTGGAGAGCCCTGGCACTAGAAGGAGTACAACAGATTCCAGCATACAAGACTCCAGATAACATGGAGGGTACGTTCTGGTTAATTAGTAAATCTTGGACCATGAAAAACAAGTCCCAAAACGAACCAAGACTGAACTTTTGGAAAGAGCTATTGAAGGCATGGAGAGAAATCTTCCCAGCGAAAGTAAGGAAACCAACAAGCAAAGAAGAAATCCTCAGACAACCCCTCTTCTGTAACCCCTGGACAACCAGCAATGAAAACACACCCTTCACCCTCACCTCAAAGGACACAAGATGGGGGACTTGGTTAGAGAAAGGCATTTGGCAAATTAAACACATCTGGGATGATTAAAAAAAAAACTGGCTCACCGTCAGACAGCTTAGGGAAAAACTCAAAGGAAGCCATAATCTAGCCCAAAACCTCCAGCAGATAACAATGGCCATCCCGGCGGAATGGCAAACAATTATTAAAGGGGACAAACATTGGTCAAAAGGAGACTGGGCCGTCATGACTTTCATAAAACCGATTGAGCATGCGCTCGCCTTCATAGGAAAGGAAGACGAGAGAAACAACTGGCTCATTTTCTCCATGCACAAGCTAGAGGAACCAGGCGCAAATTACAGCAGACTAAACAAACAATCAGAAGCCCAAATCGCAGTCAAAGAAACTAATCTCAGAAAGGTTAGAGTAATAGAAAACGAAGACCTCACCTTATTCCACCCCCAAACTACCATAGAAGACCTAGAATTCGACCCCTCAGAATGGGCTTGGAATTTAAAACACTCCACAATAAGTATAGA